TCTGTATGCAGGAGAGATTGCAATAAGCATTCTAGCCTTGTCTTGACCAAATGCATGTTCAGTTTGTCACTATGTGCCTAGATATATCTGAAACTAAATGATGAACACTTCAACAACCTCATGCCAGTATAAACAACAGCACTGCCAAGCAGATGCCTGAGTAATGTCTAACAGGTGAAATAACAGAGCTAGTGTTTTGTCAAACCCTAGATATAAACCCTGATGCAAACATGACAGAAAATACATGGGCGTAGAACGGGACGAGAAAGAAAAAAGAGATGGAGAGGAACCTGTGATGGTCCCGTGAACAACCGTCCCATTTTTTAGCTCAATCGAGACCGTCTCGTTGTTCAATTTCATCAAGAACCTGCAAACATGTTATTTTTTTGAAAATCAAGTTTAAAGAAGCAAATAGGATGCGTTGCTTTTCTTCAAGAAAATGTCACAATAGCATTGATCACAGAAACACCATAAGATAGCAATAAAACTGACCTGACCAGCTTCATTTTGGGAAGAAGTTACAGAGAAAGCTAGGGCTTGGGAGGAAATGCGAAGAGCGGGAGAAAATCAGCCAGTGTTAAAAATCGAGGCACTGCTGTAGCATCGTGCGGCCTCATCTAGGGCTGAGATTGCTCTTTTAAACGTTAATTGAAACGATATCGTATTAGCTCCCTTCTCTTTCTACCTTATTCGGCCAACAAAAACATAAACTTATATTTGCACTGTACTTAAATATAATAGAAAATTACTCTTGGGATAAAAATTTCTACTTATTTATCTGGCCATTTTTAATTTTAAATGTTTATATAAAATACATAACCAAAACTAAAAATATTAGTTAAAATAAAATATAATTTAAAATAATTGTAAACAAACTCTACTTAATAATAAATATACAATAACACTGTAGGTATATGATATTAAATAATTATTAATTAAATTAAATATAAATAAAAATTTATTAATCATACATATATAACTATATCTCTTTATACAAGTATGAAATTCTTACTTTTAAATTATTTTAATTTCATCAATCACTTTTAACTAGATGATTGGTACCTCCATCTCTCCATAAGAGGCACTGAGTTCAAGTTAATTTGTGTATTTATGTATATATTTTTTAGCAGATTATGTTATAACTAGTGTAGATATTATTGCATAATTAATAAAATATATAAATTTTTATAATAAAAAAAATTAAATTTGAAAGTATAAAAAATAAAATAAATTCTTAAAAAGTAGCAAAATTGAACTAAATTTCTTAACTATTTGAGTTATGAAAAATATTAAATACATTAATCTCAAATGTGGTGAAGCTTAAATAGATTCGTGTTTCCTTCCTTTATAGTCTCAGTACCATTTTATTTTTGTTTTAATCTAATTATCTGTATAATTTTTTTTTATATTTTAATTATTTACTTTCAAATTTTTACTTTATGAGACCCTGATCTTAACTGTCACTCGAGAACTTTTAATTCATTATCATGTTGATGATAATGTAAAAAAATATGATAAGTAAATGATGATGTGACAATCACGTTATGTTAAAAAAATTCAAAATCCCATATAGATTCGTGTTTCCTTCCTTTATTTTTGTTATCTTCTTCTTTTGAATTCTCATACTATTTGATTTTTTTCTATTTAAACTCAGACAAATAAGATTATAGACAAGAGAAGTAGTTGATTGTGACTAAGGGAGGAGATAAGGGAGATTTTATAGTTTATATTGACCTTTTCTTTAAGCAGGTAGACGACTTTGAATTAATTCATACTAAATAATATTACTGATTAAGTATTTCACACACAAAATATTTGATAGCAAATTACACAGATCACAGAAATACAGTAACTAAAAACATATAAGAATTTAGTAGGAAAGGAATTTGTTGATGATGAAGATCCTCTAAGCGTTGGATGTAAAGTTGAAGTTGGCGCAGGTAGTTTGCCGGCCAAGCAACGTAGAGCTGAAGCCAAGCCTTGAGGTGGCCAAATCAAACTGGAGCAGATTGTTTTCCAACTGGTGGCCACCAATGACGATGGACGTTATGGTTTCTAATCCGCCATTAACAAAGGCCAGACACATCACATCCCTGCTAACTTCGATCATTGAGTTCGAACCAAACATGTTCCAAACCACCTTCTCGTTCTGCAAAACTAGACTAATCGTCGGCACTGCTGCTCCGAGCCGAGTACCCACTATGTTTTCAGAGCTGAAACACGCATCAAACGGCGCCACAGGAGCCACCCTTTTGATGTTCATGGCGGCGGCTTCACTAACAAAGGCCGTGGTGACAGCTTCGAAGATTGAGCTCTGTAAAACCGTGAAGGGATTCACAGTGCTGATTTTTGTTCCTCCAATTCCTTGGCTATCAATGGACAACAAAGTTGTGTTTAACGGGACAACCTTTTCATTCACCTTGATGGATTTCACGCCGATGAAGTACTCCGACGAGCGGCTGAGAAAGTAGAAGCGGTGCTTACCGGATTGATGAAAAGGGGCGTGAAGGTGAGTGATGGGGACAAATCTTCAGTGCCGGGAAGAAACACGTATGGCCCGTTCCCGAAGAAGACGACGCCGTTTCCCGATGAAAGGCAGAGTGCAAACTTTCTGTGGAAACTAAAGACGGCAGAAAATTGCGCCGGGAGAGAAACTCTAGTCCTGCCAAGACCAGCCAAGGCCATAGCTCCACTAGCAAGACCCTGTAGCAAGAAAGTTGGCGCACAAGTCAAAATGAACCCAGGCGCGACAACTACCCGACCCGGATTCGACCCATCGGTTGATTTAATTGCTACCACATCTTGACCGATATCGCCGAATGTGGCTGTTCGGGTGACAGTGTTATCTGGGAAAACACCGCACGTATTGGAACCGGAGCAGGCCGTGGCTGCAGCTAAGGAGCATTGGGCTGAGCCACAACGAGCAGGACGGAAGGTCGAAGACGCAAAATTTCTCTCACAATCTACCCATAAGTTTTGGCCGCCGAGATCGACGACGACCTTGAGAGATACCAGAGGGGTCCTTTGGTTTATAGTAGCGGTGTATTGGAGAGTCGAAGTGTCTCTGGAGACAGGTAGAAGTAGAGCCTTGGGCCTAAAAGATTGTTGAGCCAATGGTTTTAAGGAGCAAGGCATAAAACTAGAAGAGAAGAAAAGATGACAAGTTGAAGAGACGTAACCATTTTCTAAGATGTATGTACAAAAAAGAAAATCTCATATATATATATATATATATATATGTGCAAATAGAAGCTTGCAGATACTGTGAAATGAGAGAAATGGGTATATGATATTTATAGTTCGTGCACGGTTGTCCTACCGCATTATAAAAGAGAAGGTCCAGCTCGCAGAAGCCGACAAGTCTTGTTGTCAAAGAAGGCTGCAATTCAAGCAAGGCAACTAATCAACTGCCTCCACGTGGAGATCCAGGTGGATGTATGTTTTTGTTCCATTTTGATAGTTTCACTTAAATTATTAATTGTGATTAATTAGGATAAGGCTATTTTATTCTATTTACAATATATATAACTATTTTTTTTATGAATATATGTACGTAACTTCCTCTTATATATACATATATATATATGCATACGCACGCACGCAGGCACACAAAACTACTAATCCTGCCTCATAGATTGCATTATTATACATGAACAATATATATATGTGTGTGTGTATATATGTATATATGTTTTAAAAGATATTATAGTGTTTAAGCAGATTAAATTCATAATTTGTGGACAGACCCCAGATCCATATATTAATAACATATGATACATTAATAATGAGTTTATATGTTTATTAATAAAATTTATATTTATTTGTATCTTATTTTCAATAAAAATAAAATTGTCTATTCATTTAAACACAATTAATGTGAATAATAAATACAGTCTTAAAAATTTAAATAATATAAAATTTATAAT